CCCCCCGGCCACTCCTTCGTCGAATCCGCCGGCCGCGCCGTTCTCAAGCCCCCGGCCGTTCCTCACTCTAGCCCGCCGTGTGTGACGCTGTTCCGTTTGTGAAAGCGAAACTACTTTGTTTGGTCTTCCAAAAGAGGACACGACTAGAAATCAGTGGTTAAGTTGTATTTACAACACTGTTCCAGAACAGTTCAACCCAAATATTCAGATGTGTCCAGAACAGTTTCCTGATCCTGGAAGAGTAGACTACAATGCCAGCTGTTCTGACTCACAGACTGTAAGTACGTTTTCATTTTTATGTTTACGCGGCACGATGCAACGCAACGCGTAAAAAGACAGTATAAGTCATTATAATCAGTAATTATGTCCCCACTGGATGCAACAAACTCGTTTATAATGGGTTTTAATGTTTTTGTCTTGTCGTGCTGTACATACACAGTATGGTAAGGGGCATAACATTTCCGTCACACGCTTGAGGTATTCGGCCAATCACAACGCATTGGATAGCTGGCCAATCAGAGCACACCTCGCTTTTCAGACCGATGAGCTTTGTAAAAATCGACGCGCTTCAGAAAGGCGGGGCATAGAGGAGAAACAATAATGTACAGTATGTGGAAAATAATGTGTTTTTTTAACCTTAAACCGCATAAACACATTTCATTACACCAAATACACAACATAATGTTCTTTTTAGCAACATCATATGACACCTTTAAATAAAATATCTCCTTTGAAAGTGGACTTCGAGCTTTGTAACTTTGCAGATCTTTTTTATGCTCAAACAGCAACATTACAGACTAAAGTTGAAAAAGTGAAAAAGCATAATTATGACCCCTTTAACATTACAAAACTGAATCAGTGAAAATTGCTCTAGGAATAAAACTGGCGTGACTTGAGTTGATGTTTTAAGTGTTGTACCTGCACTGCCTGGATCATCTCGGCCACCTCTACTTTAGTCTTTCCTTTCACCGGTTTGCCGTTGACTCCTGTGATCTCATCGCCAGCGGCCAGAGTCCAGTCCAGAGCGGCCGGAGTGTTATCAAACACCTAAACGCACAAAAATCACCTCAAATGAGCTTCAATTAATAAAAAGAGTAATGGAAAGAGTATTTCATGATAGATTGAAGCCTTTCCAGAGCACTTTAACATGGAAACTGGACGCTGGGTATCATTCACAAAATATGCACACGCCAAATTTGTGTGAAATCTGTTGAAAAAACATGTTCAACATTCGCAATTCTTCAGGAACTTTTCATTCTGAAGTGCACTCAATGTATGTAACAATATAAACCACACAAATAAAAATCACACACTTAGTTCTGGCCTTATAAACACAATAAGATTCTATAGCTTCTAAAACACACAATCATTATTGAATGCGACACAGTGATTGATAGGATGATGTTGGATTGTGAATATTTGACCTGTACGATGTAGAGACAGGGACAGAACTGAGCTCCGCCCCCAATACTGATCCCAATCAGGTTCTGTGAGTCTTTCTTCAGAGTCACTGTTCCAGGAACTGTGGGAATCCCACTGGACACAGACACAACACAATATCACACACGACTGTCAGTGAAGGCACACAATACTCATCTCATCACACAATGATCCCTCAATGTTCTGCTTGAAAAGATTGCTTGTTTTGCTTTCTTTCTGTTAGATTCAATTTATTTCTATTGTAATTACATGCTATTTTATAACATGCAATGCTATTCAGACATTTATAAGCGTGACTTCACACAGAGGTCTATTTTCTCCCCCACAGGATGTGACATCGTGTTAAACATATGAATATTAACGTACTGCTTGTTATTGATGGATGATGCTCGTGATACTCACAGTTTATCCTCCTCCAGCTCATAGTCCATGTCTGTGAACATTATCAGCTCTGATCGTGTTTAATGTGGATCTGATGATCAAACTCCCGTCCTGCAGTTACAAATGCATTAATACTGTTTTGATATTTTAAACATAAAATGTTGAATACTGATATTTGAAATTATAAAAAAAAAAAGAAAAGATACTTTAAATGTGAAATTAAAACTGTCAGTAGGCGGCAGCAAGTCACTGTTAATAAGTGAGTCACTGCGATTGAACCTAATCATTTAAACGGTTCATTCATTCAGGAACAAAACACCGTCATGTTGCTCAGAGATGCAAATTGGAATTATATTTGTTGGCAAAATAGAGCAAAAACAGTCAATATTGTGTCTAAAACGTAAGTGTTTTAATATTAAATTCTTGTTTATTGAACTGCTGCATAGAATCAATGTCACATTTGTAACCATGCTGCTTTTTGGTGGAAAAAACGTCAGTCTTCGCGTGATACTGATTAACTATATGAAATGATATAAATATATACATTTCTGCCCCCATATCTTGAATTTTGTGATCATTCTAAATGCATTTTAATAAACTGAATCATGCAGTGAAAGAACGCGCACTGGTGTAACCTATAGACTTATTGCCTTAGCTAAACTTTAGCTAACTTACATGGTAGCTCTCATGAGTCATGGATGTTAGCAAGACAAATTATGTTAACTATAATTGCCTTTTGGGTATTTAGCTGTAAATTTGAGGAACAGGTAGCTTAAGCCGGGCTCACACTACAAGATTTTTGGCTAGATTTTGCTGTCGCAGACAGATTTCCACAGTCTGCAACAAAACCCCCGAATCGTGACCAAATCGGTGCTCGTTGTGGTCGCCGAAGCTCGTTAAGTATGAGCAGGTTAGCAACATGATCCGAGCCTGTCTCGAGTTATCACAGACGCTACGATATTTTCAAACCGGTTTGATATTATCGCCACGTGATCTCGTAATGTGAGCAACACAATCCCTGCATCTCAATGTTCATACTATTCATCCTAAATAATATGTGAGATTAGAATAAGTGTGTCCCAAAGCATAGTATGTTGAAAACTATGCCAAAAGTCCCCGGCTGGTCTACTATCCCTGCTGAAAAAAACAGCTAAAACCAGCCTAAGCTGGTCAGGCTGGTTTTAGCTGGTCTCCCAGCCTGGTCATAGCTGGTTTATTAGGCTGGTTTTAGAGGGTTTTTGACCACTTTTTTAGCTGGTCTTAGCTGGTCAGGCTGGCTGGTCTTAGCTGGTTTTGGCTGGTTTTAGCTGGTCTTAGCTGGTCAGGCTGGCTGGTTTTAGCTGGTCTTAGCTGGTCAGGCTGGTCAGGCTGGTCTTAGCTGGTTTAAGCTGGTCAGGCTGGGAGACCACCCAGATAGCAAACTGACATCGAATCAACGTAGAATCGATGTTTCTCGTGGCATTGAATCAATGTTGATTTTCTGCTTGTTTTAAAAATCTCACATACGTAATAATAGATAAATTAGTAATAATTTATTAAACACATCACATTTAGTCATATTTTCTTTATTTATACAAAATATACAGTTACAAATACGTTTAGAGCATACAAACCTTCTGTATACAAAGCTTCTTTAAGACTAATATAGAAAATGCCTTTACACTCAAATACACACAAAGAGGTATAACGCAAATTATAGGCTAATAAAAATAGTCTCAAGTTACAAATTAAAAGAATTTACTTAAGAATAAAACTATGATGTTATTTTGTACCAAATGTGTTTGACTTTTATTTTCAGTGGGGCACAAAAGGAAATGTACGGCAGAACATTAAGAGACTGATAGCCTCAGTCACCATTCACTACCACAGCTTCTTTTCTATAATGGTGACTGAGACTATGCCACTCTTCTTTTGTGTTCCACAAAATAAAGACATTTGGGTGAGATGATTTTTAAAGAATTTTTACCCTTGAAAATAGAAGACAGAGGTACATAGTAGATCAGTAGGTTTTCCTTTGCAATTAAAACTTAAAAAAGTTATTTGTATTATCAGGGATGTAAACTAATCAGGTCAGGTTTGAAAAAGGCAATGAACATGTAACTCACAATTTTAATATCAGTCATAGACAATAAAGTTAATTTTTAATTGCTTTTTAACACATGTAATATCAATCCATTAGTACATTTTCTCTAAAGTTGTGCAGTGTTTTGGGGATGCTTTTGTTTTTAATTATTTGCTTCAAAAAATATTATATTTTGTATATTTTCATATAAAATGGCATAATTTTATGTAAAATGTACATTTCTAATCTTTATTAATGGAAATAACATGTAAAATATGCCATGTGCTATTTAGTGGATGATTTCTGTCACCTGGTGGAAAACAAATGCTTGAATGAAAATTACCTGAAATGACCACTATAACCAGTAGATGTCAGCAGTGGAGCACACATTAGCTCATTTGCCATTTTCACTCCCTAACATTTCTACACATTTTGCTTTTACATGTATAATCATACCTTATAAAATCACAATTGATCGTTTGCAAAGAGCTTGACTGACAGGCGATCTGACCAATCATAACGCCGAATCTGCCATTTTGTCCGACAAACATATCCGACAGGAGAGTAAATTAACTTTGTTGGACTTAAACTTGAAAAGTTGTGTGTATTGACGTCTTTCCGCGGTTGAAATAAAATATGTTCTGATGTTCATTAATGTTTATGTTGCGCTTTAAGTAAATATGAACAGATGAACAGTTCACATGCCGCTTGAGCTGAGGTAATACAATGATCTGTCACGACACATTAAAGGGTCATGAAACCCCAGACTGCTTTTTCTAATATTTTAGCAGAGGTGCTTGTGTTTTACATCATATAAGACAATGTTAGCATCCGATAATTTTAACTGTTGGAGAAAACTGGTTCATTTTAAGCTTTTTTGTGCTATTTTCATCTTCCGAGTTTGAAATCTACATCGCGTTGACATCACAATTTGGTGTCTATTAAATTATTCATGAGACTGCATGTTCTTATCCTATGAGAAGATGCTTCGCTTAATTATTCAAAACAGCATGTGTTGATTTGCTATGACAGACGCTTCAGACTGTGAGATCGTGTACATTAACTGACAGAAATGTTGTCAGTTTCCTCTTTGCTCCGCGATGAATTTTTCACTGCGTGAGAACATGGTGTGTAGTGTGAGAGCGGCATGGCTTGTCGGACATAGCAACAGTAACTAAGGAGGGCAGGGTTTTGCGAAGGGTCAATTATAACATTTAATAATTACTTTTTGTCAAAGATTAGGAATATTTAACATTTATTTTATTCAATAATTATTATTGACATTCATATAAAAATAATATAGGTCTATTTTGAACAAAAATGGACATGTGAAAAAAGTGCTTTAAGTTTTATCTAAATGTTGAAGCTGCTAAATAATTAGTTTTTCTTACTTTTGTCAATTTTGCTGTTGCGAGTCTATTAGTCTGCATTTACATGACAAAACCAATGTCAATCATAGCAATTTAAGTAATGACTCTGAACATTTGAACAGATTCACTTCTGTAATTGGGTAAATGTGGTTGTCACTGTTCTTCTAATTGTGAATGGATTATACAGTGAGTGCAGTGAGTCGATAGCCAGTCAATATTCTGATCATGTTTTTTTTCCCAAGCACATTTTACCAATTTCAAACCACAAATATACGCACGGGAGCGTTTGAAAGCAGTCATTTTCAGCAGGTACCTAAATTGAGTCGATACTACTTTCACTACTTACTACTCACATTTCAAAAACTCTTTGGATCTACATGAATCACACAAATGATCTAGTTTGCATCCCTGAATATTCAGTTGTTTATGTCCCTTTGTTATATTTGCATACAGTACATCTATTGTATCTAGTATTATTGTAGCAAAAGTGAGCACCTGTGACAGTAGAATTTGTAGAGAATATTTCACTTATTTTATAAGTCATCAAGAAAATGTTTTAGGGGTTGCAATCTTGTATTTTGTTTCTTTCTCTCACACAAACACAACAAAACAGTTATACCTTCTCAAAATATTAATTGCAGGTGTATAATCCTATTCTACAAATTACAAATTAAGAACTTCACAGGCTCAGTTATACGAGATTTATGCAGGGATATATTTCATTTTTTCCAGAATATTCTGTAATATTAATTTCGTCATATTATTGAATTATTTTTTCCTGAAATGTGTGTTTATTAGAACTGAACATTTTTACAGACTTTATTAGAATGTAACTGTGGTATTGGTGAATACGATCATGAACAGCAAGGCTCGAAATTGCGACCATTTTGGTTGCATACGGTCCCGAAATGTAATCTGTGCGACCTCAAAATATATTTGGGAGCATTTATACGAGTGCATATAATTGTTGTCGTGCGACAACGTTATATTCGGTATTATTTGCATGTCTATGACAGCGCACTGTGTATTTATAGCCAAACGAAATCTGAATATCAAACCGCAAACTATCTTTACTGCGGTGCGATAATCATTCTCGTGCCCTTCGCGTCTGTGTACTGACGCTAAAAGTTTTCCATTGAAAGCAATGTAGGTCCCAGTTCGTCGATATAGTGACGCCGAGGGGCGGTGGAATGAAAAGTAACAAAATTTCATGAAGATGACAAGATCTGTGCCATTACACGCCATTGTTGCTCTTGAAACTAGCAATTAAATTCCTCTCAAATCGAGGAAAATTATAGATTCAAAAAAATGTGGTTGAAATCCCAACAAGGATGTTGATCCAGGAATACATCTTACTTGACAAAGTCATGGTGAGCTGTGCAAGAAGCAGTGAAGGTTTAGCTTAGCCAAGCCCCATTTCTGCTCTCATTTGTATTTCATCACTGTTTTCTCCTTTGGAGTCATTAGATATTAACACTGTCATTGTGTTTTGCTTTGTGAAGGACGTGAATGAACCGGCCAGTTTCGTGCATGGCACCGTTGGAGAGAAGTGTCTAGGGGATCCAACTTTGGAAAATCCTGGCATGTACACTTGGCTACAGAGATTTTACAACATGAAGGTCAACATTTATTAGGCCGGCCCCAGACTAAAAATTGTTCTAGTCAACTGGTATTTGTTTAAGCCATTGGTCGACTAATTGCATGCTTATATTAATTTAATTACTTAAATATATACTTGGGGGGAGTACTAAAACGTAATGAGCCTTTAATAGACTATTCACACATATAGCTTGCCATAAAGCATGTGTGTGACGTTTTCCCAGCACTGGAGTCCATGCACAGAGGCCTGAGCCATAAGACTTTATGTATGAACAGCGAGCATGATCCTTGCTGATGGCACACGCGTCAAGCATTACGATGTCCACAACTTGTATGGCTGGGCTCACACCAAATCCACTTATGAGTGAGTTTTCTGTTCCTCCATATTCACCACTATATTTATTCCTTGGTTGTTCTGGAGAGAGTTTTAATTCCGCTGTGTGTTTGTGTGTATTTCACAGTGCTTTGCTTAGTACCACTGGAAAGAGAGGTGTGGTAGTTACCCGCTCAACATACCCAACTAGCGGTCGCTGGGCAGGACATTGGCTCGGAGACAACTACTCCTCCTGGGACCAGCTTCTGAAGTCCATCATAGGTATATGATGGTGCTTATTATTTGGTGGTTCTTGGGAAGATAAGCATATAGTAGCTACTGCTCATATTTAATATACACTACACTAATATTCACAAGTTTGGGGTCAGTATGTTTTTTGTTTTGTTTTGTTTTTTTAAAGAAAGTGCTAAACTGAAAACAACAGAACTTAAAATAACATTAAGGACAGTTAGACAAATAACTTTGCCTAAAATTATTAAATAAACTTCCTGTAACCAACCACCATAACAACCAGCCAGAACACCCTTGTAACATGTTTTGCTTGGGAAATCAACAAATGTTTTTATATATATATATAAATCTAATTTGTTCTCATCCTTTTGTTTTTGACCTGCATCCTTCATTAAATTGTGGTGGCTTTTGTTGGGCAGCTGCTGTATCTACTGTACAGTTCAGTATATAAACTCAATATCTGTATACATGAAAACCCAACTCTCCCTCTCTCTCTCTCTCTATCTGTCTCTGTCTCTCTCTCTGTCTTTCAGGCATGATGGAGTTCAGCATATTTGGCATCTCTTACGTAAGTGCCTCACTCGTCCTGCTGCAGCACTTGATATTGATTTGTCATTTGTGCTTTATTTCCTATTAAATACTATTTTTAGTTATTTTGGGTGAGTTACACTAGCATGCAGTCATTACACTGACTCTAGAGTTGATTTATTAATGTTTTGGAGTTGTTTCTATATTTGTATCCCATTCAATTTGTGTTCCAGACCGGTGCTGATATCTGTGGCTTCTTTAACCCTGCCGAATATGAGATGTATCTGCGTTGGATGCAGCTTGGAGCTTTCTACCCGTTCTCCAGAAACCACAACACCATCAACATGACAGTAAGAACACACAGCACCTTTTTTATGGACAGATTTAACGCCATCGTTACTGTTTGTATAACTGAGTGTTGAGGAAGCCTCCGGAGCTGAAATTCAGATATGGTTATAGGTGTTTCGTTATCAGACACCTGCTGTAAGCAGTAGACCAATCACAACAGACTGGGCCATCTGACCAATCAGAGCAGCGCAGGCTCTTGGAAAGGAGGAGTTTAGAGACAGAATCCTTTATCGAACCGTTTCAGACACTGTGAAAAAGAGGTAATGATGCAGTGTATGTTATGAGAAAATTAAGGTGTTTTTTTTATTTTTTTATACCTTGGATGCATGTAAACCTATTTTAGGAGACATCCAAAACAAAATTAGGAACCTTTACAATTTCATAATGGGGCACTTCAATATGTAAATGTTAATATGCTTATTCTTGTGATGTCACAACTAATGTAATATTCTTTTTTTTTTTTTTTTGTAGTCGTCCGAATCCTCTGGGTCTTCTTGTTGCTCTTGATGATGGAGGTTTAACACATGGATCCTTGTTCTGGGATGATGGAGAGGGAATTGGTAAGTTATATTTGCTTGTTTGTGTGTGTAAGAATGGGAATTAGTGGTTTTAATTGAACTTGATGATTACAGTTCCATTAATGATTCATTCAACCCAGACTCATTGGACAAACGTGCCTCTGGCAACATTTCTGCAATGCTTTCAAAGTGAAATGTCCAATGAGTGGTTGTTGTACGTATCGCAGCAGTTCAGAAATGAAATGTCTGGTGAGTGGTGCTAAATGGCTAATGCTTGACAAGCACTTAGCCCGACCCTTAACCCAGCTGATAGTGTTAACAAAAGCAGGAGATAAAAGCACAATTTACCTGGATTTCTCTTCATTTTTCACTTTACCAGGTGCGCAAACGAGCAAGTTTATGCTATCAGAAAAGCCAAATATATGGAGCTGGTTATTTGATGCAAATATCAAAATGTATTAGTTTACAATAGCACAATAAAACCATGTTCTGAATATGTATCTTTACATTAGTTTGTGTATTTTTTATGTACTGTATTGTAGATAGATAGAATGATAGATAGAATAGGGTGACCATACGTGCCATTTTCCCAGGACGCGTCCTGGCCAGGATTTCTATATTGCCTAAAATATCAAGGTTTTGGCTTTGTTTGCGTGTGCAGACTGATGCACATCGGGACATCAAAATACCATACAGACGGTTCCTTATGTCTTCTTTTAATGTTCTTTTTTCTTCTTTCTCCTTACAGATATTGTTCAGAATAAGCAGTACCTCTTGACAACTTTCACTGTGTCTTTGGTTTGTTAATATGTTTTGAAGAAAGCTGTGTGTGCAGTTCTTTCAGATTTTGGATTGTGGTCATCAAATCCAATAAGGCCACTCTCTTTTTATAAACAAATCCAGATCCTAAACTATGTCATGCCCTGGTCAGAGCTCTCTGGATGTCCTGTGGGTTTGATGGGGAAAACACAGCTCTATGGAGTTGATAACTGTTTGTAAAAGGAGGTCAAACTCAGCTAGTTTGAGATGTCTCGGCACTGATGCTACATAAATACTGAAACAACAATTTTCTGTGAGTGAATCTCAAGAAGCATGTCATATGTCTGAGTTTTTGCATTGTGATACTATTTTCATGATAATTAATTACATTTCCCAACACAAAAATTAATTACTGTAATTTATCCAGTTGTCAGCAGTTATCATATGCAATAGCATTTTTACTCATATATGCGTGTGTGTATAGTCTCATGTAACAGCTGTCCTGTGTGTTTATATTTATAAGGTGTTCTCAAAAGTGCGGTTCTCACTGATGGTCTGGCCGAGGCCGACAGGTTGACTCTGGGTCTTGTGAAGGTGTGGGGTGTAACAGCACCTGTAACTGATGTTACCATGAGTGTGTCTGGGAATCCTGATGTCAGCTTGGAATTCACATATAACTCTAAGGTGAGATGCTTCATGAAAACATACAATTTAGCTTGATACTGTCAGAATCACTGATACAGAAACTCCAAATGGCTGTGTTTTGCGTTGTTTATGGATGCTCAAATTGGCCAAGCCGAGAAACCACAAGGAGCTTTTATCGTGTACGAAAATTTGTTGTTTATGAGTGTGGAAAAGTCAAGAAATTGGTTGAAAAACGCAATGGAGAAAAATCACTTCCTGCCCTCCAGCTGCATTTCGCGCGTCATCAGAATCACGTGATTGCAAACAACCTATTTGACCCGGCTTCAGACCCCGAGAATTTTGATCAAGAGGATCGCGCGGAACCTTTGCACACACGGATATTGCAAGACGTATCAGAGTGGTAACGCTATTGTTGTTAAATCACGTTTTAGATGTTATACAGTTAAACTTATTGATACCATAGTCTCATAATTGAAGTGTAAATTCTGCAGATTACATCATTGTCCAGTAGCCTATTGTACTGTCAGCAATTTATAAAAAAGTTTTCATAATTGTAACATACTTGTTTACATATATAATTATTCAGGTGCATGTGTAATAACTGTGTTAAAATGCCCAGTGAGGTAGAAAACATCTGCTGCAAGGAAATTCAAAAGGTACTGTAAACAAGCACTGCTGTCAATTTTGATAGTTATTTATGAATTACTTTATGTATTACAAAACATGATTGTGAATTGACCACTTTATTCATAGTCAGTGTGTTATATTACCTCTTAGGTTGTGAAAAGAATGAAACAAGTCCCAGACCCTCTAACATGTATTATTCAGCATCCCGGCTTCGAAGTGAACTGTCTGAATCCTTACACCTTACAAAACATTTATAACATCTACCGAGCAGACTATGGGCCTGTAAGGCGCAGAACTGAGGAAGAGTAATTATTCCTGACGTGTTATGATATAAAGCTGTGTAAATAAATAAAACACTGTAAAGTAATATTAGCAAAATTAAGCAGCATTAACACACAACATTGCAATAAACATGAATGACACATGACATCTCTTTAAAGTTCTGTATTTGTTACATAAACATCTATATACACATTAGCACAAACAAGTGGTTTTTATTTACAACATTAATGGTAGTCTTGTTGTCACTGGCGATACCGGTATCTGGCCTATCGCAGCTTTGTCAGCTGGTGCTGGGGGTACTTAGGACGGAATGTTAGGGTTGTCATCCCGTCCTGTGTTGTTCACCGGATCCGCCAGGAGTATCCTGATCCAACTGGACAGTTTGTGGGGTTTCGGCCACCCCTTGACTAAAGCGAGTTACTCGGCGGGCAATGACTTCTTCCTTTGAGGGTTTGTCGAACTCTGCTGACAGAAATGTGGGAATGGAGATTTTCTGTAGCTCTTCCACATATGGTGTTGGGTCCTCAAACACCTCATTAAGCAGGAGCCTCATAAGGTCACTCACATAGTCTGTAACAACATTGAACACATCAATTCACTATTTTGTGCTACTAAGTTAACGTTCAGCAGTTTACATCTTTTATTTATATTGCAGTACTGTCATATATATCCATTTATTAATATTTTTTATGTATTGTTCTTCATTCATAAATAAAAGTTATTTTACAACGTACTGGATGATGGCTTAGTTTTCACTGGCTTTGCTGTGCATTCACCCTTTTTCGATTTGGGGAAAATTACTTTGTACACAGCTTGTCCAGATAATGTTGTGGCTTGTTCTCTGTCAGCATTTTCATTGTTTTGCATCGCCGCAAGGTATAATCTGCAGTCAATAAACAATCCACATATTACTATAATAGTATTTGAGAGTAATAAAATTTGATTTAGGATATTATTGAATTAATTTCAAAGTGTATTACCTGCACAACATTCCCATAAATGGGAAAACCACATTCTTGGGCGCAAACCGCAAGGTTAGGCTGTGGAAGGCCTCTAGAGGTGAGGTTTGGTAGTGGTGACTGAGTTTCTCCACATCCTTGAGAACTCTCTTGTTGTTCAGGATATTTTCTACTTTATGAAATGCCATTGACCCTGTCATGACATGCATAAAAAGTAACATTCCCTGCACAATTTTAACAATTTCGTTAGCCAATTTGCATGCATACCTGGTTGGAACCATTTCTTTGCATCCCTGGATACTGTATCTGAATGTGCACATTTGGGGAAGAGGGGATTTTCGTAGATGTGTACATTTTGAAGGTGATTAAGAACTGAGGTCCACTCCGCCACCTTCTCTGGCCCAGATGTTGAAGATCTTGCACTCCAGTACACATGGTTTTTAATGCTGCGCAACCACTATTTCAGGACCTCACAATCCTTCCTTTGTGACAGTTTTTCGAGTTTCTTGGTCAAACCTGAAAGAAACATAAAGCAATATATCAGCTTTATACACATTATTCCAAGTCAGTCTAGTACAATAACAATTGCATTTAAAGGGGTCATATGATGCAATTTAATTTTTTCCTTATAATCAGTAATTATGTCCCCACTGGATGCAACAAATGCCTCGTTTGTAATGGGTTTTCATGTTTTTGTCTCGTCGCTCCGGCCGGGACACGGCATCAACAGTATGTGAGGGGCGTAACATTTCCGTCACACGCTTGAGGTATTCGGCCAATCACAACGCACTGGATAGCTGGCCAATCAGAGCACACCTCGCTTTTCAGACTGATGAGCTTTGTAAAATTTGACGCGTTTCAAAAAGGCGGGGCATAGAGGAGAAACAATAATGTACAGTATGTGGAAAATAATGTGTTTTTTTAACTTTAAACCGCATGAACACATTTCATTACACCAAATACACAAAATAATGTTCTTTTTAGCAGCATCATATGACCCCTTTAATAACTCAGTTACTCAATCAATAAGACAATATAAAAAAATGGATACTCACCTTTCTCAAAATGCCATACATCAAGAAACTGAGTGATGTTCCGTTCACGTAGAAATTTCTGAATTTGTGGATGATGATCTGTCATAATGTAGTCCACAGCCAAAGCCAAAATTTGACTCCAGTTTGGCAAGGGAACGTTTTAACCCCTCCTTCTCCATATGGTAACTACCACCTACATCGTTGCTCTGTGCATGGGTACACATAATTGAAAATATAAAATTGACAATAATGAAAAGAGTAATTTACAAGAGTCTTAGGCTTATAAATGTATAACACACCTGAATGAGCTGAATATCAAGAATTGTGTTGCTGTCCAAGAGCATTAAGGTGTAGCTTCCATATTTTGCAGAGTGTCCTTGGGCAAGCAAAACCAATAATTTGAGTAACTTTTTAAACTACACTTTAACCTATGTATTAAAACATAGAGAAGTACAAAACGATAAACTACTTTGACTATTAAGGATGGTTTTGTGTCACACTCGCTTACCTGGTGTGTCAGCTCGCATATCCCCAGCAACTGCTACCTTCCCCACCTGCTGTAGCTGGCGAATTAGATTTTGCTGTTCTGTGTTCCATTTGTGTATGACAGTAGGCTCTAAAAAGGTCCTGGCATGTCTCCTAAACGTGTCATACTGGAATATCTCCAGCTGCATGGCCTTGAAAATCTATAAAATCAAAATAATGAGAAATAAATAAATCAATGTACATATACATTTGATAACAATGAAAATAAAAGATACCTTTTGTAGTTGAACAAATGATCCACCGGTAAAATATGTAGCTGCAGACAACTGTAGATTTCCAACAGGGGTACTTCCTATAATGGGTTGGCTCTGCCACTGTCTGTGGTAGTTACATTTTTCGCAGAGTTGAGTGAATGCCACAAAAGTACCCATTCGTCCGCTCTGGACAGAACATTTGCTCTTGCAAAATGGGCAAGTATCAAACAATTCTTGCAGGCAGCTTTCAAACACAATGTATTTGGAAACACTGTACTGTCCTTGGGGGCCTAACCTAAAAAAAGGAAAGCAAGTCTTGGCAATTGCTTTGCAGAAAATTAGAGCAACTTAAAATTGTAGTATGTTGACAACATGTATTTGTAACTTACGACAATTCAGATTCCTCTGTTACCACAGACTCCATGTTATATGTAGAGTCATGGGGTTGTTCAAGTAATTGTGAGTCAGTGTCCTCTTCTTCCTCCTCTTCTTCCAACACCAGACGAGGTCTCTTACGTGGAATGAAGATTGAGCCCTTTACTGGTGTTGAAGACAATGGCACATCAGAAACACTTGCCTGGATGCCTATAAGCAGGGTGCGAACTAGCTAGAGCTAGGGGGAGCTCGGCTCCCCTTAATAAAATTCAAAGACAGCCTGATGCTTTGTTTCTAGACTATTTGTGGGTGGCTGTTTGTTGTTTCACCTATCAATTCGTGTCGATAAAGTATAATAGGGTAAATCCTGTATAGTGATTTATCCTATATAGCGCATAAAGTAGTGCATACACTTGTAGCTGTTATGTATCTTTGTAAGTTATTGTAAGCCCTCTTTTGAGGCACATGCACGAACACCATCCCCCCCCCCCGTTATAAAAAAAAACAAAAAACAAATGTGCTCCCCCAAAGTCCACGGTATAGTTTGAACACTGCCTATAAGTGAAAACATACAATTTTTCTTATTTTCTGTCGGATTTCCTTAAAAAATGGTGTCAGGACATTACTGTATATGACAAATGTACATGCTATAACTCATTTACATATTTACTGTGTATTTGTCATACCTCTGCTCCTTACATGCATGTCCTTCAGTGTACCCATAGAAAGTTGTGTGCCGACTGATCGCATATTACAATAGGTTTGTGTGGCCACTGTTACAGTTTCTACAGGGTCTGACTGACATCCAATTTCCAGAAATTTTAATAAAGAGGGAATCTCAGAAAAACTAGGACCCTGCTGGGATGTACTCTGTGAGAAAGTGAAAAAAGGAAATACTGAGCAATGGCTGTCAAATCACACAATCAAAATATCAAATAAAAAAAAAAAATTTTTTTTGGTGATAAAAATATCTGACAGGGGAAAGAAAGCTTCACACATGGACGCAATATCCGTGTATTACACAAAATATCTTTCAGGGCGGAAGATACACTTCTAAAAGTTAAAATTAGGACATATGGGTTATTGCTAAAGAGGGAAACGCACCCTTGTCATATAACAGGTTTAACAGTACTACCTGAGGGTTTGCGAGCGCTTGGAGTAGATCATGAATAGAATTAGGCATCAGCTTTATGCAGGCAATTTGGATCATGCCGTATCCACGCGTATCACGCCGCAAGTTTAGAAAACAACACTGTGTGTTACTTCTATTGTCTTTTGTTGCCTGGCATCAAGTCCCATAGCTACAGTAAGTTAAATGCCAGCTACATCAATACTGTAATGTTAGCAAACTAGCATGCTGGATGGGCCAAGTAACTGCGTTCCAGTTGGTTTACATCGCATAAACGGCATACAACTTATACTTTGAAATGTAAATAAATAACACACACAAAAACAAATAAAGCAGCATACTTACAGGCTGTGATGCAGATACAGCAGATTGTCCCGACAAAGTGGGAACTGCTCCCTATGCTCCGTCTTTCATCAAAAGCTTTTTGGCGAAACCAGCTCTGAACTCCCTCATGTTGTGGAAGCTGTCCTCAGTAAAATGCGCAGCACACAGTACCAAATTGGGGTTGTAATGCTCAGGAACAGAATTAAAAATAAATTGCAACCACTGTTTCCTGACGTCGGCCGCTTTAGGAAGGCCAAACACTTCTTCGTCGTCGTCTTGTCTGATGCACTCAACCATGCGTTCTAACCATGACCTCGCCCCTCCCCACCCCCCAACCATTCGAATTTCCTAGGCGGATTTATTTAAATGATATTCTAATGGGCCGCTTTGTGATGTCATAAAACCCGGAAAAATAACGCTGTAGTCCAAACGAGCCATTCGTTGTAGTTCTTGAAAAGGGATTTTTTAAAAGCTAAATATCTCACTTTGGAGTGGACTTTGAGATTTGTAACTTTGTAGATCATTTTATGCCCAAACATACGCATTCAACATATCACAAACACATCTCAACAGCAAACATTTGCAAACACCTTTGCCATAATATGAATTCCTGTTTGATTTTTGTGTGTTACAGAGAATTGTGTGTTGTGTTTTGCAAAATATTTTTGCAGATTTGGTGTGTGCTTCTGGTGTTTGAGTGTCAGCTTTCAGAAATTGTGTGACGAGTAAAGATTTTGAGTGTAACTAGTTGAAAAATCAATAACACTGTAACAAAAAAACTTACTAGGATTCAGGAATTATTTTTGCAGCTCAATGTCTATTACAGTATACATAAATGAAATTACAGATA